GACATGGCGGCGGCGGCGAGGAGGTGGGGGAGGGGGACGCGCGGGCGCGTGGGATGGGTGCCGGCGCGGAGGGGGGAGGGGAGACGGGGATGGGGGTGGGGATGGAAGGGGTGGCGCGAAGAGGGTAATAGAGAGGACGGTTTGGCGGGAAAGCGGTGCGCGTTTTGGCGGGAGGAGGCTGTTGCGCTCTGCCGCGCTCGTGCTCGTCTAGGGTTTGGTTGGGCTGTTCTTGCGGCGAGGCCGGGTTCGTTGGTGGGCTGATAGTGTGTGGGCTTGGGTCTGGAATGATAATAGTGGGCTGGTAAGGGTGTCCTAAGTGTCTCTTCTCTTTTTACTAATTTTATTACTAAAACCCCTAAAAAATAATTTTACTAATAAAAGAAAAACAACCCTCCATCCCGAAATAAGTGACATGGTTTTAGTTTGAAATTTAGTGAAACATCAAAATACTCCCTCCGCCCATAATAAGGGTCGTAGTTTTAGTTCAAAATTTAGTTGAACAAGGAAAATACTCCCAGTCCCAAAATAGACTGGGAGTATTTTTCTTGCACATAAATATCATATCTCAAGGATTGTTCCAATAGAAATGGTTTATTTTTTTCTTTACACACAGACGACGTGAATTCCATTTTGTTCCTTTTTAACAAAAACTTGTTATGTCTATACAATATTTGTGTATTGCTATTTGATTAACCATAAACTTTAACATTTTTGGTCATTTTCTGGGAGATTGAACAATAAATTGAGTACATCACATTTTGCAACTGCAAACAAATACTAAAATTGATTAAAAAAAATCATATATATTGTATGTGGACTGGTAAGGGCGCCCCAATTTTTTTTACTCTAACAGAACTCTCTTTTTTACTATTGTTGGGATAAAATATTTTTCTCAACAATATTATTCTAAGAAAATGGTTATTTTTTTCTTTACACACGGACGAACTGAATTCCATTTTATTCCTTTTAGAAAAAAACTATATAATGTTTTCTTAACTAAAAGCATAAAAGTTTTGGTCATTTTTCCTAGGAATTCGTGGAGTAAGTTCAGGCACCACATTGTTACAACTACAATATAATACTAGAATGAACAAGGATTGTGTAGCTTCAAATAAGAGGCTTGCTACTTACGAAAATTTAAATCCACATGATACTCCTACTTTTTTGTCTAGATTTTGCTTCCACTTAATGAATACTCGTTGACATGGTGACGGGAGGCTGAGAGAACGGCCAAGAGAGGAGTCAGGACGACCGGAAGGAAAGAGGAGGAGGAGAAGAAGAGCATGAGATGGATGATGGTGTACGAGTCGAATTAAACCTTCCTACACGGTCATGTCGACGAAGTGCGAGAGGTCTTATTGATTTAGCCACGTGCTTATTAAAACTGAGATGCATTTTCGGTGTAAATTAGTTCTAGGATTGGACCACATATGGTTGCTCGTCCTCAAAGTGACCGGCAAAGGTTCCCTAAAGAAAAGTAACCGGTAAAGGCAGATTGATTTTCTCGTGTCGAGACTTGAGAGACAACCGTGTCATGCCGTTTCAGTTTTTAAATATCGAGCTACATTCTTCCACTCTAACTTTTGACAAAACAGAAAAAAGGTCGACAAACAATTCTCTCTTCGAACTCGGGGAATACCGTGGGTGTAAAAGGCAGCTCGAGAAATCTCAGAACGTGGTTTTCTCGGGGCGGAGTGGCTCAGAATCAGACGGCTGTGGCTTAACCACGTCCCTCTCACTGTTCGAATCCCCCGGCCGGAGAAGTCGACAGCATAAATCCATCCGTCCAACAGAGAAGCTCCGCAGTTCTGACGGAGACTCCAAGGCCATCGCCATCCACCCGCTCCGCCCCGCTCTGATCCCAGATCACCCTCGCACCCTCTTCCTCCTCCGCGCGCTGCAGCTCTCGCCCCCCGCGGATGGCCTCCGCCCTCTCCGCGCCGGCGGCCTCCGCCGTCGCCGCCGCCCGGTGCAAGGCACGGGCCCGCTTCTTCCCACCTGTCTGTCGGTGTCTCTGCTTTTGGCAGTGGATTCTGAGCCTTTTTTTCATCTGTTTTTTCGTGGGCGCAGGTGTTCGGAGGAGGAAGGAACGATGGGAGGGCCGGGTGCCGCGTCGGGGTCGCGAGGAAGGTGACTGATCCGATCCTGTGCCCCCTCTCGCTCCGTCTTTCCTAGATCCCACATTTGATTTGTGAATTGGTTCGGTTCTGTCACGCGACTGCGCTAGATGGTTCTGGGCCCCTGTCATAGGTGTTCCTGTGCGTGTACGACTCAAATAGGCGCTGACTTCCTGGATTGGCAATCCACGGCTGCTACTGGTTTAGTGTTAACACGTGCAGTAATATGTTCAGAATCGACTAAGCAAGTAGAGTACATAGTTTGCACCGTGGTTGGCAATCATGAAGTTCTAATACTTACTTACTTACGAAGCCTTTTATCCCAAACAAGTTGGGGTAGGCTAGATATGAAACCCTTTCACGAGGACTTCCCAGGAGGTCACCCATCCTAGTACTACTCTCGTCCAAATGGATTTCATACCCAAAAGACTGGCTAGTTTTTACGTTGGCTCGCCAAGCCTATCACAACCCTTAGATATGAAACCCTTTCATGAGGACTTCCCAGGAGGTCACCCATCCTAGTACTACTCTCGTCCAAATGGATTTCATACCCAAAAGACTGGCTAGTTTTTACGTTGGCTCGCGAAGCCTATCACAACCCTCCTCCTTTACCCGGGCTTGGGACCGGCTATGCCTAGAAGACATAGGCGGAGTTATAAAATTTGTGTGGCCTCGTAGCTTGCTTCCTGGGCTGGTAATTCAGGACTGCTAGTGGTTCTACTTGGGTTGTTCTCGATTCAGGGCTGTGATTTCCAATTGTGCACGATTTCACGAGCTTTTAGAACAATAGTGAGTCACGCAGAATCTTATCTGGGCTGCTGGTGTCTCCTGGGATTCAGACTTAGCATGACTCCGATACGCACCTTTCCTAATTCAACTTTTCAGTGACCTTTCAGCTCTGCTAGTCAGGACCGAGTGCTAAGTAGAAATATTAATAATCAGGAACGCTCTTAAGGATTCGAAGGATGAAGTGTTCTCTGTGAATAATTTCTGTTCATAGATCATAAAGTATGCTGACTTCTTTTGAGAACAAGCAGTCATTGACACATGAACAAACATGAAGCTGCGCTTTAATTCTGCACAGCTATAAACATGGTGTGCTTAGTCCAGGCTTCTTATGGTAGAAGTAGTTATACGTATTTACTGTACTGATAGCGATAGGACCACTCTAGACTTCTAGAGTTGCTCGTTTCAAAGTTGAGGCACATTGCAGTTGGTAGTGTAGCTGGTTAAGCCAGCATTTCTGTTTCTCCATGGATGATCCTTTTGTATGTGACAGCTGTGCCTTAAAGCCTTGTGCCATTCCAATATTTGACATCTCATGATATGGTTTGTGCTTTGAAATTTAATTCTTCCTTTGCCGGTTTGGATGCAGAATACTGGCCACATAACGATGGCACTTGCAGTAGACGCTTCTCGCTTTGAAGGAGTGCCGATGGCCCCTCCAGACCCGATTCTTGGGGTTTCGGAAGCATTTAAAGCAGATACAAGTGATCTGAAGCTCAACCTCGGCGTTGGTGCCTATAGAACGGAAGAGCTACAGCCCGCTGTCCTCAATGTTGTCAAGAAGGTAAGTCTAATCGTCCTTGGCATTTCCTGAATAATTTAGGTTCCTATTTTGATGTGCTACTGCTACATGTGGTAGGCTGAAAAACTTATGTTGGAGAAAGGAGAAAACAAGGAGGTACGATGCAATTTTACAATTCAGATGATTTGGACATGGTCATAAAGAATCATATTTTCCTTCTATCCTTTCATTGAGAATGAAAAGCTGAATGTTTTCTTTATGGTGCAGTATCTGCCTATTG